CATATTATCTCTGTTCCACATTTTTTAATTAGCTATCTAATCTGTATGTTTACCAGTAATTCCTATATATACTACTGTTATATTAAACTTCTATTTAATCTTTCTTAAGTGACTTCGCCTTTTTTCCAAAATTCCCTAGGTTTTTTCCTCTTTGCCAGTGAGTTTTCCGGTTTAGGTTATGCGTGTTTGGTTTCCAGTTGTAGCCACATGACACGTAAAAATAATCAATAACGTGTTTGTTGTTTACCTCTTTTCACGTGTTTGTGTTACGTGAAGTGATCTACAGTACAGAGTAAACACAGTTCCCAATTTTTGTCGATAAAAAATTTTTCAGCGCTCTATTTTATATTAAAGCTTCTTCTGGCCTTTTGTTTTCTATTTGTGTTCTTATTCTCTATCTTAGTTATCTGTGTTTTTGTGTTCTCTTCTCTTTTTCTTAAAGGCTTAGATACTGTTTCTTAGTAAGAAATTTGTGTATTTTACGTTTTTTCTTCTGCTCCAAAAATGGTCGGAATGATCGACGGAGAGAGTGTTGACGATGGTATGTTTTGTTCTGATATTAGTATTGATGATTGATTATTTTAAGTTTTGCAATCTACAGTATGTTAATATATACTACAATATTATTTAGTTTTACCATTTTGCTTTGCAATTTTTCGTAATAAGTCTCGAATTTTTTCTGGTAATGGGTTTGGTAATTCACATGTACAAAAAGGACAGCAACTTTCTAAAAATAAATATTAATAAATATGAATAAAAAAATAAAAGAATTATCTAAAATAAATTTAATTAACTTGTAATTTGTTCTTCATTGGATTTAATATTAGAATTATCCATTAAATCATGAGATTTTACAGAAGATGAAGTTTCTAATTGCAAATTTTCTTTATTTTTAGTAGTAAGTTTTTTGGCCGGTTTTGGATTTTCTAATCCACTTTGTTTTAATAATTTGACGAACTTTTTGATATATTCTACTTAAAAGATATTCATAATCATTACTATCGTATTCTATTGAATTATTTAAAATAGTAGTTGGCTGAATTGAATTAGATGACATATTGTAAAAAGACTTATATAATATTATAAGGTTATGTTCATTAGGATCTTTACGCCATCTTTGAAGAAATAAATAATTCGGAAGTTCTTCTAAATTTATTTGTGAAGCAACTTTAAATATATGCCGACAAATAATGCCAGAAAATATTGTATAGTTGCACGAACAAGTAAATTGTTGATTTATAAAATTATATGTTGTTATACGACCAGGTGAATGTGATTGCTTTTGAAAACGACTTAAACAAAATGTAATTTCATTTTCAAATCTAATGTTATAAAAAATATTAAAATAAGTTAAAAGTATATTTTTTTAATAATTTAAATATCTTTACCTAATCGTTTCTTCACATTTATATGCCATAGACTCAAGTAATTGTATTCGTGTTTTTTTTAATGCATAATTTGTTAATAATTTACTAGCCTGTTTCTCAAATAAACTTTTCGTAATTATGTAATTATTAAAATTATTTTCTTGATATTTAATAAATTCAACATTTTCTTTGTTATGTTCAAGTGCATTTTCAAAAGCTTTTAAAAATGCTGTTAATGATGTTGTTGCATCCATATATCCTTTCATAAGGTTATTCATCGATTCACCCCTTTGTGTTGTTGTCATATCTGCCATAAAAAATTTACGATTAAAACAAGGAGCCCATTGTTGTATATTTTTATCCATTTTACTAAGATAATTTACTGATTCTGGAAAATCGCTTTTTAATTTTTCCCATTGAATTTTAAAGTTATCTTCATCATATTCATCAAAACATTTATAAAATTGTTGAATAAATCTTGCCCATTTAGATCCTAATTTACTATGAAGATTTTTAATTATATTTTTAAAAAGATGCCATAAACATAATGCATGTTTTGTTCCGAATGGTTGAAAAACCTGATTTATAGCTTTAATCATTGCCTGATCTTCGTCAGTAAGAAATACTTTTGGTGCATTATTGTTAACTAATTTTAGAAAATTACTAAATATCCAATTAAAACTATCTGTACTTTCATTATGCATAAGAGCACCTGCAAAACATACGCTTTGTCCATAATTATTAACTCTAGTAAAAATACCAAAAGGCATATTAAACCGATTAGTCTTATAAGTATTGTCAAAAACAACTACATCATAGAATCGACAATAATTCATTTGTTGTTCTGGAAACATCCAAATTGCTTGTTGTAATTGATTAGTTTCTGAATCAATTCTAATTTTATATTGAAAATTATCATCTTCTGACTTTAACTCTTCTAATAATTTTACAAAATTATTTGCATCTAAATTTCGTTTTTCATTTGATCCTTCATGTTGATATATAAAATTATATAGATCATTATAAACCCATGTAACAATACTGCCAAATTCTTCTTTTAAAATTGCATGAATTGTAGCAACATTACATCCAGCACGACGAAGTAATAAAATTTTTTCTTGTATTTCAGATGGAATTTCTCTTTCACTAGATATAAAATGTTGATGATTTACTGCTACCATTGCATGATTATGTTCTAAATATGTTGCAATAATATACCAAAGGTTATTTTTAGAGTTAAAAGATGCACGAACTAAAAATTGACAGTTGCATCGTTGTGATAATCGATTTCTAATATTGGAACCAGTAGATGTTTTCTCAGGATCACCTTCACGACTACATAATAGAGTTCTTTTACGAATATTTCCAGCTATATTTTTTTCTACCTTGCCTAAACGAATTTGAAACCCTTTTTTGCTTGCATATGCTTTAACTGCTTCAACAAAAGCATCATGAGAATTATAAAAATCACCCTCTTTAAGTTCAATATCATCAACAGTCATATTATTTACGCGTAAACTTTTAAAAAGTATATTTTATAAAACAAAAATTAAATTTTATTATTTATATGTTGTGTAACATAATAATAGGGGTCTACGGATTAAACCTGGACCCCACAGTCTAGGTTAAGATTGTCCTTAAAGAAGTATTAAGATAGTTTGTAAAAATTTTGTATGGAGTTTTTGGATATATTTGATAAAGCTAATTGGTCTAATATTATATAAATTACTATCAAACACTAGCTTTTTTGAAATTAGAAAGATATATTCTTCTTTCTATTGTTTTGGAATTATTTAAGATGTTAAATATCTATTAAGCAGAATTGTAACTAATTATAAGAACAAATCACTAGCATGTTTAAATATCTTATAGCTGATATCTAATAGACTGTATACATTGTTATTAGAAAGGTTTTTTAGTATATGAGTAATTTTTTCTATTATGATAGTATTAAAAATATTATCATAATGAAAAGAGTTAATTGAAGAAATTGGTTTATAGCAGTTTTTCTAGGTTGCATTAAAGATTTGTTGATTAATAAACCTATATTTAAAGGTACAGATCAAAATCCTGACAAACAGAATTCTGAAAGGTCAGAATCCTAACAGAAAAATCCTGATAATTAAAAATTCTGATGTTTAAAAATCCTGATGATCTACAATTAATAATCTATTTTTTTTTTATATATTAATATTAACTTTGCTCTTATTTCTTATAAATTTGCAACTGGATTTGGACTTTATAATGATAAATAATTTTATTTTCTGTTGTTTTTTTTTATTTTCCTTTTTTTAGCCAACTTTTCTAGATTTGTGCTTTGCTAGAATTAATTTTGACTTTCTTTCAGATTTGGTGTCTCATTGAGATTAGTACTTGGACTTTTGTTTTTTCTTTAATTGTACTTCGCAGAAATTGACAATTTGGATTTTCTTTCCTTTCTCATAATTGAACTTTACTGGAATAGTAATTTAGACTTTTTTTCCTTCCTTGTATTTGTTCTTCACTAAGTTTGTGCTTTAGACTTTCTTGGTGCTATAGATTTTCTTGTGTTGTTCTTCACCAGAAATAGTAATTTAGATTTTGACTGTAGTGATCTTTGTTATTTTTCATTTTCAACACTTTGAACTAATATTTCTTTTTTTCTTGTAGGTTCATTGCTGAGAATGGTGCTTTGGACTTTCTCTTCTTTTTTGTATTTGTTCTTTGCTAGGTTTGGTGCTTCTGACTTTCTTATGTTTATTCTTCATCAGGTTTGATGCTTTGGACTTTCCTGTGTTTATTCTTCACCAGGTTTGTTGCTTTAGACTTTCTTGTGTTTGTTCTTTGCCAGGTTTGATGCTTTGGAGTTTCTTTCTTTTCTTGTGTTTGTTCTTTGATGAAAATGGTAATTTGAACTTTGACTATAGTAATAAGTAACTTTCTTTGTTGTTTTTCATTTTTCAATGCTTTGCACTAACTTTTTTTTATAGGTTCTTTACCAGGAATAGTGATTTAGACTTTCTCTTCTTACTTGTATTTGTTTGTTCTTTACCAGATTTGGTGATTTGGACTTTCTCTCCTTTTTTGTATTTGTTCTTTGCTGGTTTTGTTATTACCTTAGACATTCTCTTTTTTCTTGTATTTGTTCTTTATTAGGTTTGGTGCTTTGAACTTATTTTTCTTTTTTGTGTTTGTTTTTTGATAAGAATAGTGATTTAGACTTTGAATGTAATGATAAGTAACTTTCTTTATTGTTTTTTATTTATTAATACTTTGAATTAATATTTTTTTTTATAAATTCTTCACTAGGAATAGTGCTTCAGACTTTCTCTTCTTTCTTGTATTTGTTCTTCGCCAAGTTTGATGCTTCTAACTTTCTTATATTTATTCTTCGCTAGGTTTGATACTTTGAACTTTCTTGTGTTTATTCTTTGCTAAGTTTGATACTTTGAACTTTTTTGTGTTTGTTCTTCACTGGAAATAGTGTTTTGAACTTGACTATAGTGATAAGTAGCTTTCTATGTTGTTTTCTATTTCAATGCTTTGAGCTAACTTTTTTTTTTTTTTTTTTTTTTTGTAGGTTCTTCACTGGGTTTGGTGTTTTAGTCTTTCTTGTATTTATTCTTCACTGGGTTTGGTGCTTTAGATTTTTTTGTGTTTGTTCTTCACTGGGTTTGGTGCTTTAGGCTTTCTTGTATTTGTTCTTTACTAAGAATAGTGCTTTAGACTTTCTCTTCCTTCTTGTATTTGTTATTCACTGGGTCTGATGCTTTAAACTTTCTTGTGTTCTTTATTAGAAATAGAGCTTTGGACTTTCTCTCCTTTATTGTGTTTGTTCTTCACCAGGTTAGGTACTTCAGACTTTCTTGTATTTATTCTTTACTGAGTTTAGTGCTTTAGACTTTTTGTGTTTGTTCTTTGCCAGTTTGGTGCTTTGAACTTTCTTGTATTTGTTCTTCACTAGGTTTGGTGCTTTGGACTTATTTTTCTTTCTTGCATTTGTTTTTCGATAAGAATAGTGATTTAGATTTTGACTATAGTAATAAGTATCTTTCTTTGTTGATTTCATTTCAATACTTTGAACTAATATTTTTTTTTTTTTTTTTTTTGTAGGTTCTTTACTAGGTTTAGTGATTTGAACTTTCTTGTGTTTGTTCTTCACTGAGTTTGGTGTTTCTAACTTTCTTATATTTATTCTTTGCTGAGTTTGGTGCTTTGTACTTTCTTATAATTATTTTTTACCAGATTTGGTACTTTGGACTTTCTTGTATTTGTTCTTTACTAGGAATAGTGCTTTGGACTTAACTTAGTGATAAGTAGTTTTCTTTGTTGTTTTCTATTTCAATGTTTGAACTAATTTTTTTTTTTTTATAAGTTCTTCACTGAGAATAGTGCTTTGGACTTTCTCTTCTTTCCTGTGTTTGTTCTTCATCTGGTTTAGTGTTTTAGTCTTTCTTGTATTTATTCTTTGCTGAGTTTGATACTTTAGACTTTTTTATATTTGTTCTTCACTGAATTTGGTACTTTGGACTTTTTTGTATTTGTTCTTCACCAGGTTTGGTGCTTTGAACTTTCTTGTATTTGTTTTTTACCAGGAATAATACTTTGAACTTTTTTATATTTGTTCTTCACTAAGTTTGGTACTTTAGACTTTCTTATATTTGTTCTTCACCAGGAATAGAGCTTTAGACTTTCTCTTTTTTATTGTATTTGTTCTTTGCTAGGTTAGATGCTTTAGACTTTTTTATGTTATTCTTCACCAGGTTTGGTACTTAGAACTTTCTTGTATTTATTCTTTGCTAGATTTGGTGCTTTGGTCTTTCTTGTGTTTGTTCTTCACTGAGAATAGTGCTTTAGACTTGACTGTAGTGATAAGTAGTTTTCTTTGTTGTTTTCTATTTCAATGCTTTGAACTAATTTTTTTTTTGTAGGTTCTTTGCTAGGAATAATGCTTTGAACTTTCTCTTCTTTCTTGTATTCATCTTTGCCAGGTTTGATGTTTCAGTCTTTCTTGTATTTAGTGCTTTTGACTTTTTTGTATTTGTTCTTTGCTGAGTTTAGTGCTTTGGACTTTCTTGTATTTGTTCTTTACTAGAAATAGTGCTTTAGATTTTCTCTCCTTTCTTGTGTTTGTTCTTTACTAGGTTAGCTGCTTCAGACTTTTTTGTTTTTATTCTTCACTGGGTTTGATGCTTTGGACTTTTTGTATTTGTTCTTCACTAGGTTTGGTGCTTTGGACTTTCTTGTGTTTGTTCTTTGCTGAGTTTGGTGCTTTGACTTACTTTCTTTTCTTGTGTTTGTTTTTTGATGAGAATGGTAATTTGAACTTTGACTATAGTGATAAGTAATTTTCTTTGTTGTTTTTCATTTTTCAATGCTTTGAGCTAACATTTCTTCTTTTTTTTTTTTTATAGATTCTTCACTAGGAATGACACTTTGAACTTTCTCTTCTTTTTTGTGTTTGTTCTTTACTGGGTTTGGTGCTTCTGACTTGTATTTATTCTTTGCCAGGTTTGGTGCTTTGAACTTTTTGTGTTTGTTCTTTGCCAGGTTTGGTGTTTTAGATTTTTTTGTATTTGTTTTTTACTAGGATTAGTGAATTAGACTTTGCTATATAATAATAAGTAGCTTTTATTATTTAATTTTTTTAACTAAATTTTATTTTATAGATTTGTGTTTTATTATTTATTATTTTTTATTGTATTCTTTTGCTTTAAATAGTGCTTTTGTAGTAGGTTGTGAGTTAAGATTAGCATTTAGTATTAGAGTTGCTAATACTGTAAGAGTATATATAAATTTTTACTCAGTATTATGAACGTAATAAATAAAATTAGCAGGATCCAAGTCCTATAAAATATATTGTATTATTATGTGATTGAAGGACTGAGTCTTTACTAATACTACAAGTCTTTGTAAGGACTAGTTAGAATTCAGTTCCAAAAGACTAATTAATATCCCTAAAGAATTTATTGAAACTGAAAAAATTACAAACATATTATAATGATTTGGATCTATGAATAAAACATTTGTTGAAGACTATTTCTATGTACTATATGTATGAAGAAAAATTTTAAGTTTTCCATAATCATATCTATAATAAATCTCTGTACTTGCTGCATTTTTAAAAAATAAAAATGATGAAAATAATTTAAATATTATATTTAAAATCATTCTGATATAGATCTTTGAAAAAATCTAATGCTATTCAGCTTCAAGTGTACAAATGTAGAATATCTCTATTACTAAAATAAATTATAATAATTAGCATACAATGAACCATTAGCAGTAAAGCTAAAAATAATAAATAGTATCTTATTATAACTATTGAAAATTTATTCAGTTAGAAGTATAAAGCAATAGCTTTATATAATGTAACAGAAAGCTACTTTGAGAATATGTTGCAGTATTCTAGTAATAGAAATGTCTCAAATAGAATTTTCTCTTACATATATGAGGGAATATTTTGAAAAATTTCACTATAAATTCAGAAGATCCTATACTATTTTTTACAAATAATATACTTGATAGTCATATCAGTCTAGTAATTATTATAGATTAGTTTCAACTATTCGATTATACAGTTTATAGTACTAAGGTAATTTATAGAGTATTGTATAATTTATCAAGAAAAGAACAATTTAAACCAAATAATATATTAACTTAAGTATTATTCCTAGTTCAAATGAACCAAGTAAATATAAATTAATAATTATCTAGCTCTAATTATTGACAAGTTAGTTAATTTTGCTTTCAGTATAGGTTTACTAGCAACATTTAAATATAAAAAAGAATGCAAAATTTATATCATATTAATTCTATCATTAAATAATATTCCAGCTGCAAGAAAGATTTGTAGTCATATAAGTCATATAGTGAAATATCATTGCTATTTAAAATATACAACATATAATAATTTATCTAAAAGAAATTACTATAGTAATTTTGAAAATATAGATAAATAGTTTAATCTAGTAGATATAACAAAATATTTTGATATAGTGAAAGAATAGTTAAATTGTACAAATAAACAGAAAAGAGATGACTATGTATCTAAAATGGAATAAGATAGTTAAAATTATATTATCTAAAATATTTTAATCTAGTTAAATTTATAGTTGTCAACCTGATATATTATCTATTTTTAGATATTAGAAAATGGATAATGAAGCAATATTTATTGAATAATAATAAACTTAGCAAAGAACAATTTAAAATTATTAAAAAGTATATATCAAGTACTAAAGTTCTAGCAAATATAGACCATGTTCTATCAAAAATAGTGCAAGAGTCAGAAGGATTTAGCTAATTAACTGCAGATCAATAGAGAATTTTTTATCAAGTTTATGCTATTCCTTGCATATGAGATATGCTAAATCTTAAAGATAGAGAAATCTTTTTTAATTTTATTAGTGCATGTACTTCATTAATAAATCAAATAGTTAAACAAAGTAACCTAGACAAAGCGCATAGATAATTAATAAAAATAGCTAAGTTAATTGAGGAAAATTATGGTTCAGAATTAATATCATCAAATATTTATCTTTCTCTTCATATTAGACAATGTTGTCTTGATTATAGTCTACTATACATTTATTGGTACTATTCATTCAAAGAATAATAGCTATTAGATTCTTATTTAATAAGCAATTAGTTAATAGAACTATAACTTATACATATTCTAATGAAAAATATGCAGATAGAATATAGAATAAGTTTAGTTAATAGAAAGAATAGCAAATTACTACTAGACAAAGTTCTTTTACTTTTAAATAAAAAATATACAAAAGTTTAAAAATAACTAAAAATTTTGAAAGTAAAGATTTAATAGCATATATTGATATAGTAGATAAAATTAATACAAATATTATAACAGGATCAGAAAGATATCCTAGTGAGATGATAAAACTAATATATGAAAATATAAAACTTCTAGAAAATATTTATCAAAATCTAAAAGATTATTATACAACTCTCTATGAATTAATATCACTATTAATTGATAAAGTTGCTGTATAATATAGAAGATTAAAATTATAATCAAAAATATATGGATCAAAGATTGCCTCTAGCTATATTAATCTTTCATATATCAGAGCAAAATTTATTGCTTATAAAAGTAAATTAG